TTCAACATCCGTGCTGCCTTCTCAATGAAAAACATTAGTTTCTTTTTTAAAACTTATATTTTCATAATTTTAGTACTTGTAATCACAACATCATTTTTATTGTTTCCTTTTCTAATATTATAGTTTGTTTGTTCTTGTATCACTTCCTAATTGCCATTTTATTAGCTAAATGGGTGCACCATAATTTATTTCATCATTTGACTATTATTAGGTATTCAGGTGTTTCAAATATTTCATTATACTTGCTTTTAAGTGAATAAAAATCATATATTCTACTGAATAAAAATTTGTAGCAAAACAATATGCAAATGTAAGATAATTTCTCTATTGGCAGGTCTCTGGCAATTGTCTCCCTCTTCTCAACCAAATGACTGTAGTAAGGCAAGCTCTGCCATAAGCAGGATACAACAGGGAACATGAGTGGGATCAATATGTTCATTCCTAGTTAAATGTATGCCTCAGCGACACTGATTCCATCCTGTCAGTTTTATTGATGGGCTTCAGAATGCTTTTGTAAGCATTGTGCTTTTGTAGAGAAAAATGTAATTTAAAGAGCTCAAAATAATTTTTTACAAAATTAATTTACTATGGAAATCTTAAGTATATAAGAACTAACTAGGAGTTTTATTCACACTTTCCTCAACTCTGGCACTAGAAAAAAAACTACTTATGAGAACTTTCTGCATACTTACACAAATGGAGAGAGAACTGTTTAATGTAAAGCAGCTCTTCTGAATGTAACCAAATAACTGTCAAGTTTCAGAAATAGTATGTTGAAGTCCTGTAGTGAAGCTTTACATATTCTATATACCATATGAAATGTTCTACTTTGGCTATGGGGCAGTTGGAATTTTTGAGAAATTAAATCTCAACTCTGAAAGCCAAGTAGCCTAATGCAATGTCAAAATCCCAAGACAGAAAGGTAGAATGAAAGCAGAAAGGAAGAGAGAGCATTGTTGATCTCTTCTTAAGATAAGTAGTTACCTAAGTTCCCAATAATTAAGTGTGACTGCATTTCTAAAACTTGTTCAACCACCAACCTAAACGCAGCCAATCACAGAGTCAGCTGCTGAGTGGGAAGGAATTAATATGGCTCTCACTAGTTACCACAGTGCTTCCTTTGTCTCTTCACTGTATCTGGTTAACTCATAATCACCTCCTCTAAAAGTCTCAGAGGGAGCAGTGAGAATAGGTAGCAATGACACAGATAATGTTCAATAGCAAAGAAAGCAAAACAAATATTTTCTATTAGGTGTTTGCATACATCATATGATTAAGAAGAAAGTCTTTTTCTTTTTAATTATATTTTGCTTAGACTAATATTTTAAGTTCCCATATCAAAGAAAAGGTCATTTTATATTACAAAGATAGCAGGAGAAATGTTCTAAGTTTTATAAACTTTTAGATGAAATTCATCAAACTGGTAAACTGCTAATTTGAAATGTGTGTTTCATTTCTGATAAAGTGTCCACTCCAGGGCTCTTACTGCCCTTATTACCACTTTTCCAGACTCCCATTTCTCTCCTCTCCAGTCTTCTTCCTCTTTGATCTTACAGCGAAAAGGAGCCGCAGTTAGAGTGTGCAGTGGGTGTGTACTGGGTCTGAGTCTCCACCACAGTCCTGACTCACCTATAGTTCAGGTGCTGGGGAGTGAGGATGTTCCTTTCCGCATCACTAGAAAGCTCTCAAAGGTTCCATAATCCGTACCATAAAAGGCCTATGAGTATTTTAAACTTCTGAAAGAACAAGTCCCAGGAGTGAAGTGCAGAGAGTGGCACACTTCTGTCCTGTTGATTCACAGTTAACTAGATCCAGGTGATTGTCAATGGATGGCCCTTTCAAGCACTCATAAGAACACACAATGTGGCTTCTTTTACATGCATGAACTGTGGTGCTCAGTCAGTCTGAGTTGGTGTTCTGAAGACTTCGTCTTGACTTCCTGAAGCTAGTGACCTCCTGTTCTTGATCTGCACATCAACTCCATTTATCTGAATGTGGTCAGCTGCCCATCCAACTTGCCTAGCCTTGAACCTACAACCATATTAGTTCCAACATCAGGCATCCTCTCCTTCCTATCCTCCTCCAAAAATCAATTCCTTGCAAGTCTCACTATCATGATATTGCCTCTCAGCTGCAATGCTTCTTACTGTGAACCCTTGTTCTTTTTCATTAAAGTGTTGAAACAAACTATTCTTGCTTCATTCTGGCTCTGCCGTCAATACTCACGAATCTTAACTGCTCTTAACAAAAATTTCTTTCACAAAGAAAAATTGTTTTATCTGTCAAAATATTGATTTGGGGAGGGATTGAGTCTCAGAAACCTATTTTGGAAGGAAAAAAATAGCACCAGCCTTTTGTTTTTCTTATCATATTTCTGGTATAGCACTTCAAACTCTCTTTGAAAGGCCATGTGGTCACCTCTGTTCTTCCAGGAAGTAGGAGGTCACTTAAAAGAAAGTTTAGAAAAAGAAGGCATAGATACAACTATTTCATCTGTTACTTCAGTAAAGGAATTGTTCTAAATCAGAATTCTCAGGTCATTCCCTGCATAGAACCTGTAAGGGGCCTCCCAAGCCCCACGGTACTAACACTGTATGCCTAGATTCCACAATTCCTCACAACCTTTCCAGTTTAGTGTATATCACTCCCTCCACAAGTCCAAACACAGCAAACTATTTTCCATTCTCAAAAGCATCATGCATTTAAGTCAATGTACTGTTAGGATGAAGTGGTTGTTTAGTGAAAGTGGACTTGAGAGCCTGTAAACAGACCCCAGGCCCACATTCACCACTGCAAGATCTTGGTCAGGTTTCAAATAGGAAACTTGATTCCCCTGAAAAATGGGAAAAACTGAATGTTGAGTCTGACCCTGCCTTTTCAATCTATTTCTTTATGTATGGAAGGAAACAAGACTCTCTCTGTAAAACTCCATAGTGAATTACAGCCCAAAAGTTGCTGTATCTATACCATTCCCTGGGTCTGTGCCCATAATTAATGTGGGTGTGAAGGATTATTATTATTATTCCCTTCTTCATGCCTCTTCACTATGCCAAAGGATAGGTAATTTTTATTACAAATAACTTCATATTATCCTTTTGTTTACAATGTAATTTAATAAAATCATTGCATTGTCCACAATGTACCCTAGAAGACATGCAATGTCAGATGCTTTTAATTTTTTTACTATAATTTGAAATAAAAATAGTTTCATCTTGATCCACATATGTAGAGACACTGTTACATATGTTGTGCACATGTACTCAACGTGTGTGTGTATATGTGTGTGTGTCTCTTTTACTATATAGAATGCTCTCGGATTCTTTTAGTTTTTAAATACTTGTTTCAATTTGCTAACTAGATTTCAGGATCTAACTTGACTGCCTCCACATGAACATTGGATGTATCCTCCAAAATAGTTCCTGCTCCCAGAAACTATTTCCAGTTCTAAATCTCTGGATTATTTGATACAGGGAAAAAGATCCTGTTTACAAATTTATCATGGTACAACTCGTAAAACTAACCTAAAATTCATTCTTCCTTTCACTTCTTAGATATTAGAAAATCCTATTGACTTCTCTTGAAATTAAACTTTAAATTGACCAACTCTTACATCTTCATCCCATCTGGGGTCCAAATCATCAACTCACTTGGGCCACAATGAACCCCCTAAGTGTACTCCTCCTTTGCCTCATTGCCCCTGTTCTCTTCCTCATAAAGCTGCAGAGATTATACTTTTTACTGAACCCACCACCAATAGCTTCCTGCCCATGACACTATAAATCACATCATATCAAATCCAATGTCCTGTCTCACAATTTCCTATTAATCGATTCTGCTCATCTCGTCTATCTCATCTTCTCCTTTTCTTGCTGCTCACCCTTGGCTCATAGCACTCCATTTTTGGACAATCACTCTATTTTTTCTCAAAACTCCAAACTCTACCATGCCATCACTTTCAATATCTAGAAGCTTGCTTCAAAACTTCTCATACAATATGATTTACTTATCTTGTACTCATTGCTTATTGTGCATTTCCAACCTGTAATATACAGGCTCCACAGAGCCAAGGATCTTGTGGTTTTTTTCTTTTTTTAATTCATTAAGTTTAGTGGTACACTTTAGATATACAATATGATGACATTCATCATTGGGAATTTGTACCTTTACATGACAAATCTTGGTTATTTTTTCCCCATTTCCCTGTCCTCCTTTCAATATTCTAAGTACTAAGCAGTCACCATACTTTTAACACTATAAATATTTGTGATCAAATAAGAAAATGTTAGTTATCATTTTTTTTATTACCAATAATGCCCAATAATATAGGCTACTCTGTCCTCCACCCCACAAAGAATTACAAAACTCTTTTTTTATCATCAAGCAAAAATGTATTAGCCATAGATATAAACAATACTTTTGAATATCAACCTTAGAATGTAGGAATGGGAAGTATAAACATCCTAGTTACTCAGTAAGGTTTATAATAATTTTTCACAAAAAATTTCCTTTTCTGATACACAAGTATATCTATATACTGTATTAATTTCCACCATATGGCTAAGTATTTATAATGGGAATTCAGTGCATTCTTTAAAGAAAAGGAATCAAACGTGTCTTCTTGGACACATTTCAGAAGGCCATTTCTATAATCCTCAAATTATAGGTCCTTAAAGATTCAGTTAAACAGCCATTATGTTATTTTACCTGCATTGGTCCAATGTAGACCAATACTCTATGTGAGACCATTTTCTGCCCTTCTGAGGCACCTTGCTTTGGCACTGTTCATCAAGAATATTCCAATGAGCCAATTCAAGACTGTGTGGGGTATATTTTTAATTATCAAACTGTATACTTGTAATCATCAAACTACAGACCTTGACAACATGGGAACTCATTAATAGCAATTCCCTACCCATGTTATCCACAGTTTCCCCAACATTGCAAAACTCTTCAACTGTGTAATCAGTTAGAATTTAATTCAGTTTAGGATTAATCTCAAAGTCTGTTCCCAAACATTTCTCTTGTAACACCACTGAGAATTAGCCAAAGCTGGATTTGAAGCCTGGGGATCAGGACAACAGAGGGGAGAGAGAAGAGGGTAAGACAGGACTGTCAAAAGAAAGGCGGACTCTCATGGGTATGTCTGTTTTATCTCCTTTACATCTATAAATTCTGGAAGACTGATTTATTTTAGAAAATTAATCTTTTCTTTAGCTCACATTACAGTTTGCAAATAAATGCTTTACATGAAAATGTCTATACAAAAGTTGCCATAGTATACTTTATAAGTGCATACATTCTGTGTAAGGCATAGGATAGAAATAAAATACGATTCGTATTTCTTCCCTTGGACAGATTCCAACATCCACCCCACAAAGCTCTAGACTACTTGATCTCTGCCTTGTTTCGCTCCTTTTGGAAGCAGTGAAATTGGTACAGGTGATATTTATAGATGCCCTCAGGTGGTCATCTGTGGAAGCATTTGAAAAACTGCTATTTTACATTAGTGATTCCTGTAAGATCTATGTAATGAACAAAGAAGCCATCTTTCTTCAACATAACCTCTTCACCTGGGTTGAAAGACTGTGTGCTGTAGGTTAACAGCCTAAGTCCTGGGTCAGCTGCCTGGGTACAACACTTAGGTCTGCCACTTACTAGACAATATTGGATATGTTACTTAACCTTTATCTGCCCCTAGCATTTCCTTTTAAAGATTAAAATAGCATCTTCCTTGTACAAATATTTTAGGAATTAATTAAACAGCATTGTTTCAGTCTGGTTAGGCTTTCATAATAGAATACCACAAAATGTGTGACTTAAACAATGTATTTTAGCACACGGGTGCTATTGGATTAAAGCTGCATTCTCATGGTTTCCTTTAACCTTACCTCCATAAAGACCCAGCATCCAAATACAATATTGTTGGGGGTTAGGGCTGTAACCTATACAGTTAAGGGACCATAATTTAATCTATTGAAAGTATATATACACAGTGCCTGACACATAATAACTTCATAATAAATACTACCTCTCATTATGTAGTATACTTATACTGTTCTATCAGGCATGTATTTGAGTGTGTCGATATTTATCTTTGTAGCTGGTTAAAATTCTAGTTTATAAATAGAGATAAGTCTACATGGATAAATCCCAACAGAATTCTTAAAAGAAGAGTAGTTTTAATTCTAGTGTGATGACTTAAGTGTAGCCACATACAGCTGACATGCCTTAACTCATTAACACATGTTAAGAAGTGCTTGATCTTGTACGATGCATCTGTGATACACCCGTGGTTGCTGCTGGCAAGCTAAGGCCTGTGGGCCACGCCCAGTCAGGCTTGTAATCCCAGAACAGGGAGGGAGGGGGTGGTGTTGAGGCAAAAGAATTGCTGGGAGTTAAAGGGCGGCCTGGGATATATAGTGAGTTTAGTGAGTTCAAGGCCAACCTGAACTACACAGTGAGACCTTGTCTCAAAAAACAAAAACAAAACAACAACAAAAAAAAGAGATGTTGAAATTGTAAATTGAGGCAAAAAATAAATAAAAAGAAAGAAACGTGTATTCATACATAGGAAGACTGAGGCAGAGACCTTATATGGCCCGCATACATATCATGGCCTCTTTCTGAAATAGTTCTGAAGTCTCTGGCCATGTCAAACCAACATCTGAGAGATATTCTGAGTACAGATTTACCAGTTTTTGGTTCTTGGGACCCAGTGATGACCTCAGAAGCTCATGATGATTATTGTATTTTTAAATTACTTTGCTTTGATATCTCTCCCAGTCAAGCTGGGGCTGTTATTTACTGAGGCTACTGGTCTATTCCTCTTTGAAACCTCTTTTCTTCTCCTTCAAATCTTCCCTGGACTAGGGAAAAAAAGAGAAAACACAATTTCTATTGAAAAATACTTTCTATGTATCAAGTTCCATAAGATAGTTTTCATATGTTAGCTTTTTAAACTCATAATTATGTGGTTGAATATAGCTATTTTTACTATAGAGATTAAGGAAACTGGCCTCAGAAGAGTTAATTCACTTGACTCCAAGCCCTCCTGGCTTCAGAATTCAAGGCCTTTCATTACAGAAACCAAAAAAACCTGACTGATTAGAACTGTATGTAACATAAGGGTAAACAACAAAAATGGCATTGCTCTAAATAAAGCTCCCACTGTCCAAATGTTCTGAGACATCTGTTTTGTTTTCTTCTCAGCTCTTAGCTGTGCTCCATAGAGCTCTGTTGTCTGACAAACAATTTTTAAGTTAGCAAGGTGTTGTAATAACACTTTCCTTGCTCAAATATATTTTTGGACCCCATTCATTGGATCCATCCATTCAAATGTAAATATTGAGAAAGTATGCAATTTTTAATGTTAGGAAAAAATCCAAAAATGAGTATAATTATAGGCTCATGACTATATATGTTCTCTCTCTCTCTCTATATATATATATGTATATCATCACTATATATATATATTATATATATATATATATATATATATATATATCACTACAGTATACACTGCAGTGATCCTATTTCCTTCTGTTTTACTCTTCCAGTCTTTCCCCAGAGGCAAATTCGAACTTAAATTCCCTAAGTATATCTGACTTCCACTCTTCCTCAAAGCCTTGTATATAACATAGAGTGTTATGCAAAATTATATCTACATGAAACAAACAAGAGAAACTGAATCATAAAGCACATGTTCTAAAAAAAGTGAGCACTAAAAGAATAGAATTTAATAAACAAATTTTTGGAGATTTTTTTATAATTACTTAATACAAAACTATCTAATTGGTGAAGTATTTTTATTTGGATATCATTACTACATAGGTGCAATACCTGATTGTTTGTGCTCAATAGCAAATATTATAAGAAAAAGAAAAAGAACAATTTCAGTACTATTCCAAATTAACCGTGAGATTCAGCTTCAGGTGAAGTCTTGACAATCACAATAGAGAAGAAAGGAAACTGAGTTTGGATGGGAATTGGAACAATGTTATTGATTAGATGTGGTTTGTCCATTAAGTGTTCATGTATTGGAAGCTTGGTCCTCTGTGTAGTATGTCAGAGCAGCAGGATCTTAAGAGATGGAGCCCGATGGGAGGTCCTTAAGAACAGGAAGCATTGCCCTTAGAAAGGATTTAAGTAATTTTTATGCAACTTCTAGTTAGTTCTCACAAGAACAAACTGTAAAACCCTGAGACTGACCCTTGATTCTCTCTAGGTTCCTGTAGAGCAACATGATCACTGTCATGCACACCTGCCATTGTATGCTGTTATGGTTTGGATCATAAATGTCTTCCTAAAGCCATAGGATGAAGGCTTGGGATGCCAGTCTGCCTTGGTATTGGGAACAGATGGGACCTTTAAGATGTGGGTGCTAATGGAAGGAAGTCAGGTCTCAGAGAATGCTGTTGAAGGACACATACCAGAAACTTAGCTTTTTCCTCCCTTTGGGAGGCTTCTTGACTACCCTCAGGAGAGCAGTTTCCTCTGCCATGCACCAACTCCCATGATATACTGTTTTGCCACCAGTCTAGAGGCAACAGGGCCAAATGACTATGGACTGAAACTTTTGAAATCATGACTCAAAACAAATATTTTTTTTCCTTTTATGTTTCCTATCACAGGTACTGAGTTACAACAATGGAAAGCTGACCTCCTCCATGAGGTCCTCACCAGAGCCAGAAAATGTCCTTAAATCTCCAGGACTGTGAGACAAACACAGCTCTGTTATTTATAAAATTACCCAGCCTGGGATATTTCATTATAGTAATTTAAAAAATAATACAAGATATAAGAGCAGGAGTGATGGGACCAGTTTTCTCCTCAATGTTTTTCAAAAGCCGCTCACAATTAAAAGTATGTGAAGGGTATTTGTTGCAATGAAAATTTCTCTCTTTTTGCATATTTTTGGTTTTAATTGCCTCCTCTTGTCACAGGGAAGGTTTGGATTCTTGTTAGAAAGCAGAAGGTGATTAAGGATGCTCCTTTTCTAAGACTGGGGTTCGAAAAGCCAGAGTGAGCTCTTAGAATGCATTGCTAGGCAGCCAGTGACAAGAAATTTGGGAGTAGTAAGAGCAGCTAAGGAGAAATGATCTTCCTGTAGAAAGGCATAGGAATCACTAGATCTGCTAAGCAGTAGTGACCTCTGCTTCAACCCAAGGAATACTTCCAGAGAGCTCAAAGATTTTAGAGGAATGTCTACACAGTACACCGAAGAAGGAAGAACTGCCAGAGGATGAACTCTAGCACTGTGTATCACCACACAAAGAAAGATCTAAAACCAGCTGAAAAGTCTTACTGGTAAGTATTAAAATCTCTTCCTCTGGAAGGCTGAGGCATGAGGATTACAAGCTGAAGTCCAGCCTGGGCATGTTAGCAACTTAGTGAGAATTTGCCTCAAAATAAAAAATAAAGAAGATCTGTGATATGGCTCAGTGCAGTGTTCCTGGGCTCAGTCCACAGGATGGAAAAACAACAACAGGAAAAAAAAAAAAGATACCAGCTATCACCATGACACTCTAAATTGTCTTTCCCTCATCTTTCAGATATCACAAAAATATCTAGCATTCACAATGAACCAAAAGAAGGGAAGAGATCTCTAGTAATAACCAAGATGGAGTTTCAACATCAGATAATTTTAATTTAAAAATAACTATAGCAGATACAGGTAGACAGGAGTAAGACAGAAGTACTCCTATCTGTAAGTTTATACTTATTGATCAATCTCTTCCCATTCCTCCTTCCCCACTCCTCTCCCCAGCCTCTCGTAACCACCATTTTACTCTACACTTTTATGAGTTCAATTTTTGCAGATTCCACGTTTTTGTAAGATAGTGCAATGTTTGTCGTTTCTGTGCCTGTCTTATTTTACTTAACAAAATCACCTGGAATTACATTCATGTTTTTGCAAATGACAGGGTTTCATCCATTTTTCTGGCTGACTGGTGCATTGTTGTGTATATATAACAGATTTTCTTTATCCATTCATCAGTTGCTGGATATTTAAGTCTCCATCTCTTGGCTACTGTGAATATTGCTGCAAAAAAAACATGTGATATATCCCTCTGACATGTTGATTTCATTTCCTTTTGATGTATACCCAGTAGTAGAATTGCTGGATCATAAAGTAGTTTCATGTTTAATGTTTTGAGAAACCTCTGTCCTGATTTACATACTGGTTGCCCTAATTTATACCTCTACCAACAGTGGGCAAAAGTTCCTTTTTCTCTACATCTTTACCAGTGCTTGTTATTTTTTGTGTGGTTTTTGTAATAGCCATTATTACTGGAGTAAGGTGATACTATCTCATGCTGATTTTGATTTACATTTCCTGATGATTAGTAAGTTGAGCATTTTTTTCATATACTTGTTGGCAATTTGTATTTCTACTTATGGAAATTTCTTTTTAGATCTATCAACTATTTTTAATTGGGTTATTTGTATTTTGCTATTGAACTTCTTGAGTTCCTATTATATTCTGGATATAATTGTTCTCTCTAGGTTTTTTTGTGTGCTTGACTTTGTCTCTCTCTTCTTTTAATATTTAATCAATCAATTCCTTGCATTTTTTTAAGTACTTTTAGTTGTATTTCCAGCATTTGGAAATTTAAGATTCTTGATTGAAAGACTGTCTTGCATTTTAATTCTCATTTACCCTTTTTCCTAAGACAGGATCCTAAATGATTTTGACTCTGCAAAGTTAGTTATTCTATGAAGTGAGAAGCAAAGAAAATTTAGAGTCCTGGATGAGCTGTTGCCAGAAAAGGCAGCCAAGAGGGGCATCAAGGTTCCTGAGGGATAGGGATACATGGGTCAAGAGAGGCACTTAAGGAAGTATCAAGGACAAAGAAAACAGAGTCTGACTAATCCAGCATTCTGCCTAAGGCACTGCTGCTGGGCCTCTGGAAAGTAAGTTAATGTTTTAGTCTGGACATGTTCTTTAGCAGAGCAGGAAAGGCAGAATTATTTTTCTTTCTGAATTAGAGTTAAGGATAGATAACAATAATATAGGTTTGCTTTGCAGCCATATTAAAAGTCATAACATGGAATTTGATGGACACGGAGTTGGCAGTGTTTCCTTACACCAGGCAGAGAAGGAGGTCGTGGCGCATTGCGGCCACTGTGAGAGCCCTTGAACTCTTATCACTCAGGTGGGCAGTTGTCTGCTCTGGCTATAATGACACTGACTGGTTCTCAGAAGCACCAGTACCACCAGAAAGTGTGAGAGCCCTTCAGTTAACTATGAGAGCTTTACCTAACTATGTACTTGTACGAGACCTTGGTCTACAAATTACAGGTGGAAGATGTGCCATATTTCTTTATTGATTTTAAATCAAAATAATCTGACTCTGAAACTCCATCTTAGTTATTACTGGGAGCCTCTTCCCTTCTTTAAGATTGACATGAATATGATGAATTCTTGTAATATCTAGAAAATAAAATGAGGATAGGACTCTCTTATATTTAGGATGTCAGAGTGATAAACAATATTCCTTTAGTCCCAATCAGTAAAAACTTTCATCCACCAGTTTAAGAACTCTCTTGTTTAGAAAGCCAAAGACATTTTTGTAAACAAATACTAGCAATTAAGAATTCAGATTCAATTTTAATTATAATTTTACATTTAAAAATATTTATTGATCTTTGTTTTTGCTGTTTATAATCATAAACTTGATGAAAGCAGAAGAATATAGAATAAACATTAACACTTGCTGTATGTATCCTTCTAGAAACTTTTCAACTCTTCTCTCTCCATATACAAATTACTATATAATATATACTTTATATAATTATATACAAATTATCATATATATAATTTAACAATCTGCAAAGCTCAAAACAAGTCAATTAGAACAAATGCTTTCTATTGTGGAGAAGCATCTTGAAAAACCATAACTTCTCACCAAACCAGCCTTCTGTGCCTTACCATACAGTTCCCTTAACTTGAGGTGGTTCAAAGTTGCCAGATTTTGGAGAAGCTCCACGTGCATGGTGGTGATGCTTATAGAGTTCTTGGTGCAGTGAGTTTTTACTGATGCATGTGGATAGATGTCCTTTAATAATTTAACAGCTACTATGACCCCCTGTATCAATAGGTACTTATGAAATTATGAGCCTGGAATAGACTATGATGCCTCATTATCACTTTCTTATGATAAAATATATTCCTATACTGTGCTTGAGAACTTTCTAAATGGTCTTTGGTGATAGGTATGTGAAGTTATTGATCCCTTTAGCTCTTGCAGTGGGCAGGTGGCTGAGATGGTTAAGCTTACTTGTCAACTTAATTGGATTGGGAAGTCCAGGAAATTAGTAAAGCACATTTCTGGATGTGCTTCTGAGAATGTGTCCAGACATAACTGGCACTGGGGACAACAGAATGATGGCAGATCCCCTACCTGAATGTGGGTAACACTACTGAATAGTCTGGGGGCCTGGATAGAAATAAGTACAAGGAGGAAGCCTGCCACCATAGTCTCAAGTTCATCTCTCTCTCTGCATCCTGGCTGCCGTGAAATAAGCAACAGCCCTCCACTATGTGCTTCCATCATGGAATCTGCCTCACTATAGAACTAAAAGCAATGGAGCTACCTTACCACATCTTCCAAACCTCTGAACCTGGGAGCTAAAATAAATTTTTCCTCCTTAATTTAACTTGGATATTTCTGTACAGTAGCTAAAAGCTGACTAACACAATGAGCCAAGTTGATAAATTATACTACTCTATGATAAAATAACAAAGACACACACAGGCAAAACGACAGACCATAAGTGTAAATGTGAAAAACCATGTAACAGAATGGTTTCTAATGGCAAAACTGTCATATTCCATGGATGTAATATAGTTAACTTAACTAAGCCCCTATTTGTGGACATTCAACATGTTTCCCTTCTTTCTCCATATCCTATTTGTAAGAGACATATTTATGTATCTGGTATATATATTTCTTAAAGCACATTTCTGAAAAAGGAATTTTGCTGACTTGGGGCCTACTTAGTAAGGCTATGACATGGTATCACATTTCTCTCCTGTTCTGTGAGTACCTAGAGATGCAGACTCTGGATTTAAACTGCCAGTGGTCGCATCCCTGATCCATCACCTTGTTAGATGCATGACCTTGGGAATGTGACACAGTGTCTCTGGTCCTTTGTCTCCTTGCTGAACATGGAATTATCATAGTATTTACCTAACTCAGTTGTAGTAAGGATCACCTGAGTTTATATGTATGCAATGTATGGAGTATTTAGAACAATCTTGGCTCATTGGTGTGACTTATTAAATATGAGCAATTTCAATAACAGTATTAGCATTTTCACTCCCACAAAAGCATGTAAGAATATATTTTTTCCTTCAATTCTAAACGCATTGGAATTAAGTTCCATATATACATTGCTACAGTTTATAGCAAGTACACACAGATTTTCCTTTTAAAAAACTGTATATCAGTTGCTTATGAGACAGAATTATGAATTTACAAATCTTTAATGGATGTGTATGCTTTATCCCTTATTTACCTTCTATTTGGCTGTTTGTATGATTCAAGAAGTTGTTGTTGTTTTTTTAATGGTGGATTTTCTGGGAGTCCAAGGCAGCCTCTTACCTTACATTTGGTAAAGTGAAGATCAAAAATGCCAAAGTAACTGGAGTCTCATAGATGTACTCTACACAGGGACTGGTGGTTTTACAGCTTCTGCTGCCCATTTTGATCACCTGGGAAAGTTTAAAAACTGCTGATGACTGGGCCACACCCCCAGAGACTATAATTTAATTGGTCTGATTTAATTACCTGACATAGCGAGTTTTAAAAGCTCCCCAGGTGATCTATCACACAGCCAAGACTGAGCACTGTGGAGTAGGTGGGTACTGATTAATTCGGGGTCAATTGCGTGTGTCTTATGATGCCAGGCACTGTTGAGAATGACTTTCATCATCAGTCAGCTCTCCATGTGGACCGTCAATTGCCATGTGGAAACTGGCTACAAAGTGTTCCAAGAATGAAACCAAAGCATCTAATGCAGCTAGAGCTCACAGTATCTTGAGGATCCTGCTTTGGATAATTTCTTTTACTTTCAAAATTTTCTTTTTGTAAAAACATTAAATGAAAAATTACATTTTATTTTTGTAGTAAAAATGAACACTACATAGATATTTTATATTCTTGACTAAGTTTCTTCTGTATTTTACAGCTACAGATGAAACAATCAAAACAGACTGGAGAATATGCTCCTTTTGTATTTTGCAACATTGATCTTTTGTCTACTCTGAGTAGAAGATTCTTGCAATTCAGAATTTTAAGGAAAAAATAATACACTTGAGAAATCGTCATTGAACTAGGAATATTCAACCACAACACATTTTCAAGGGAAAGATGCAAGGGCAGCTTCAAGGAACTCAGAAATCAGGAAGATGCTGATATGTTAGGAAAGCCTATGTTCTTTACTTCTGTGGTTTTGAAAATACAAACAGAAACAGCAATAGCAAAGAAGTTCCATAATTAGCTTTTATCTTGATTCCAAAAGTTGCTTATTATAGAACTTTTAATAGTATATAAAAACCACTACTTTAAATTCTTGAGTTGGCACTTTAATGAAAAAATTAGTATTTTCAAGCTTTGTGGTTTCTATAAAGTCATGGGTTAAACAAGTTGCAGTCCTTTGTCGCCAAAAGGTTTTGGAAGTATATTAGATAGATGCTCTGGTAATTTTCTTCTTCTCCTTAGGCATAGTCTTCTTAATGCCAGAACATGAGTATAAATTAGAAATTAAATAAATTACCAATCTAAAGTATTGGTGTGGTTAGAGAAAGACACTGGTATTTAGATCAACAAATATGCTTTTTAAACACAGTAACCTGACCCAGTTGTTCTTTTAAAACCACAACAGAGAACAATCTTGCTCATTTCACCATACCTCCCTGAAGAAACCACAGACTAGAAGGGTGTCTTTTCAGGATACATTCCACAGCAGAAGGGACAACCACATCCTACCCTGAAAAGTAAATCTTTGTTTCCCCTTAACCCCAAACTGCCAGTCAGCATCTAGTCCTCCCAACCTCACTAAATGTGTTGTTTCATCACTTGTTTTTTCACTTCACATTCTATTGGATGTGACTAATATCTGGAGATGGATTTCAGAGGAGCCTCCACTACTCAAAACAATTTTTATCCTGATGACAAATAGGTTAAGTGGGAATAAGAGAGACTAAGTCTTGCCTGTGATTGAAAGAATAGAGTATCATTGGTAACTAGTCAAAGAGAATGGATGGAATTCTTGAGTTTCCCTTTAACATTTTGCTGACAAATGTTAAAAAAGAGGTAACAGTGGTAATGAACAGTGAAATAAATAAATCAGGTAAAACTACAGTTATATTATTCTTCACACACAAGAACAAAATGTTCTAGATTCTTGGGAGCTAAATGATATACCCTTGAATTTGTGAAGATGGCAGTGATGTTGGGATATACATACCAGACTAGTTCTGGACAAGAGTTCAGAATGATACTCTGTGAACACTATGGGACTCCCCTTGGCTCACTTGATTCCACGTGATAGGAGCTCAGTAACTTGGAGTAGTATTTCTTAACCTTTAGTATTCAATAGTTACCTGTAGAAAATTTCTAAAACTCCCCATATGGCGGGCCCACCTCACAATGTGAAAATTGAAATCTCAGGTGTGCACATTTTGAAGAAATATCTCTAAGTATTTCCTTTTTTGAATTTATTTTTTATTCTTAAGTTCTTTTATTGGTACATTTTAGGTATACAATACATTTACATTTATCACTGAGTGTTTGTACCTGTACATGATGCATCTTGATTCTTATTTTTTCCCCATTACCTATGCGCCCTTCACCCCTTCCGCCCTTCCCTATTTACATAGATACTATTTCCATTTTTTTCTTTTCTCATAATTTTTCCTTTCCCTTCTTTCCTTTCCCCTCTAAGTATTTCTGATGCACAACAAAACTGAGAATCTCTGTGTATAAGAGGACCAAAAAGATCAAGACTTTCACAAGGAACTAGCTTTCCTTAGAGTCAAAGGGCTACAGATTATTTTTTTGAATTGCATTAGATAAATTTGGGAGTCCTTTCAGGGTGGCTGACATAAAATCATTTCATATGCTTTAAGGAAAAAGATTAGTGATAGAACATTAATTATAAAGGATCTTTATATATCAAAGAAATATGCATTTGAAGGCATTATTCCATTCAATTTTATTCTGCAAGAATTGTTTGGAAATAACTTTTTTGTTTGTTTGTTAATTTCATAACAAAATATATAACTCTTTTACATAGAAAAAATCTTTATTTTCTGTACATACACCCTTCTTGTAAATATCTTTATTTTTACAACAAATGCTGGTGAGGATGTGGGAAGGTGAGGTAAGGAGCCCTTGTACAGTGTTGGTGGCAAAGTAAATAAGTGTAGTCACTATAGAAATCATTTTAGAGATTCCTCAAAAAAATAAAAATAGGACTACCATATGAGCCAGCTAAGCTGTACCACTCCTTACTATATTCCTGAAGTAATTAAAGTCAGTGCATTATAGAGATACCTGATATCTCATTTATTACAGCATAATTCATAATAGCCAAGTTATGGAATCAGTCTAGGTGCCTGTCAACAGATGACTGGATAGAAAAACTGTGGTGTACATGTACCAGTTATTCAACTGTAAAGAACAAAATCAGGTCATTGGCAAGTAAATGGATGGAATTAGAGATAATCATGTTAAGTGAAATAAATCAGACTCAGAAGGATAATTATTGCATATTTTCTCTCATATGTGGAACCTAGGGGGAAAAGATGATATGAAAGTGGAAGGAAGACTGTTAGACAAGAGAAATAGGATCAGGGAGAAAGGCAGGGTAAGAAAGGGTAATAGAGGAAATGGAAAGGATCAAAATATGTTATGGTCCATATAATCAATATGCATTATCAAATCGTTAAAATTTTACTAATTTAAAAACTTTTAAATTTAATCATGACTTAAAAAGAGAAAAATCTGTATTTTTATACTTGTCCTATTGTAAACCACTCCCAAGAATGTTTGCATTAGAAATTATTGCCTAAATATGACCAAACTGTTTATAAACAAATTCTGTGAAATTTGTTTGATGAAAAGGAATGTTCTTTCTTTACAGCCATGGAACCCTGTTACAGGTGCACAGGTGGCCTATGTAGGTGGAGCTGAGAGTGCTGTGGTGTGTGGAATGTGGGAACACCTGCTCTCCAGGTTCTGCTCATTGAATTCCCCCTATCTTGGTGGATACCAGACAGACAATCATCCCTGATTTCATTAAATACACCCTTTTAATAACATACTATTTTGCTATTGAAAAACACGGAAGTTCAGATGGAAAGAAATCTCTGATACTATAGTTAGTCAATAGCAAGAGTCAGGATTTAGAGTCATGTCCTTATTCCCTAGTTCATACGTGTTAAATTGCATTTTATTGGGAAGTAAATGTCCTTTCTTTGTCCTTATGTCTTAGAAGATAATTGTGTGTTCACAGTAGGGCAATAAAGATGATACAATAGAAGTCTAATAAGACATTTTCATCACTCCTAGTTTTCCTATTATTCATAAAGGACTATGATTACACTTCAAGGAATTTTTAAAGGAATACTATTTTTAAAACTATCACCATCTGGAATTGCATTCTTAACAAATTAAGAAATAAACAGAAGAGAAAGGTAAAAGAGGACCTGACTATGACTCAATTATGGATAGTGTTTAAGTTAAATGATACAGCTTAAATGTGGAGGAATATGGGCACCTAACATGGAATCCAAGTATTAAGCAGTCTTATCCATTTCAGGTACAGGCAGCCCCTATAAAACTTGAAGCTTGAAAGAACAGAGATGAATTCTTTCTGTGTCCAAATTTAGATTTTAAGAGAAAATGAAGAGCAAAAGTGTAAATCTCTCTAAACTAACCAGTCAGTTAAATCATCCCACCAAGAATAGAGAAAATCCAGGATAGGATATTGTAGCCATGGATCTCCCTCCCATGGAAAAAAAAAAAAAATCAGGAGGAGGGAAAACATGTTTCTCCTGGACAGAAACTGTGCCAGGTTGTTTTGTCATATGTTTAACAAAAATGTGTAAGTAAGCATCTAATGTTAAACTATTTGCTGAGTTTCAGAGAGAAACAAAAGGCTAGTGAAACAGCTACCACACTCACGATTTATAGTTCTATTCACTAACACAAAAAATAAAAGTCTTCATGTGGAAAATTTCCTTATATCAATGTTTTCTACCATGCACAAATAAAGAAAATATTAAATTTTAAGGATTAAGGTAACATGAAGTACTTTAATTCAGCGCCAGAGACATGAATAATTATTCATTCCAACTATACTTTCAAAAATCCCATGCTTGCCTTTTCATTTATCCACCTTACAAATGTGCTTTTGATGTATGTGCTATGGTTTGGGTCTAAAATGTTATCCAAAACTCTCATGAAGTCCCTATCATTAAAGCAGCAATATTCGGGGGGCGGGGGGGGTGCTTTTAGAAGGTGATTGAATCATGAGCACTATAACTTCTTCATAATTTGATGCCATCATTGGAAAATGATAGAAACTGAGGACTTATGGCCATGTTGAAGGGATGAATCATGCAAACTTGCCCTTGCAGACTACATCTTACCCTCATTTCTCCCTACTTCTTTCTGTCCATTTTTCCCTCCTCTGTGCTGTGAGGTAAGCATCTTTGTTCTCCCACTTGCTCCCTGCCATGATGTTCTGCCTCATCCATGGGTCCAGAAGCAATGGAGCCAGGCAACTATGAACTAAAGCCTCTGAAACTATGAGACCAAATAAATCTTTCCTCCCTTCATTGGATTTTCACGGATATTTTATCATAGCACATAGCTTTGAAAAATCATTATTTACAACTTTTACTATAAGACTGAGACACTGCAGAAATGACAGCATTACCCACTTACCTTTCGATTATGTCTACTTTTAGGTGTTATTTTGATTCCTTTTTATTGTGTTTGAAGGAATATGTTTACCATCTATTATTTGTAAATATATGGAAAATTTGTGAAACTTAGAGTCCATTTGTAGCAATACATTGCAAAATTACTTCAAATATGAATTTAATTTTTTGTATTATTTCTAATAATTTCTATTTCTGCATGGATTTTCAGTTTATACTTGAACAAAACAATGTGTAATATTAACACAAATTTCTGAATAATTTAGGCCAACTTCTCTGCCCTATTTTCATAGTAAGTTTCTATATCAATATATTAGTAGCTTTCCTTCTGGGACAAAATACCCAACCCTGAACTAAACCTCCAACATTTTACCCCATTATCACTCCAGCAGTGCATTTGTTTGTATACTGACTACCCCGAGCCTCACTCAGGCAGGTGTCATTTCAACCAGCCAATTCTTGTTTGTATAACACTTGTACATCTGTTTATTTATTTTGTATCGACTACTTTTGCATACTTTTTTATTTAGAATGTTGTATTTACCTTTGATGTTTGTTTCTAGTACAATCTAATAATAAGTTCTGGTTATTTTCTTTTACTAATTCATGTTTATTTTATGTATGGAAAACAACCTATAATTCTGTGCTACCATATATGAAGTCTCATTGTAAATATATTAGATGTAATTTTTATACTTCTCCAGAACTCAGTGATGTTCTTTTACAGTACAAAATGGACAAGTTTGGGACACTGAGACTGAATAGGAAGGAAGCGCCAAAAGGTCTGCAAAAGAAAACCTGAAAAAGGGGGAAATATTAGCATATCACAGAGGAAAAAGTCTGTGTTATGAAACGGAAAGATGAAAAAACTATTCATAATACCGAAATGATAGGACTTGAAAGAAGAAACAAAACTGAAAAAATTCCACTAGTGGTCAGTGATTATAATAATTCTATGCATGGTGTTGATAGAGTTGACCAACATCTAATAAGCTATCCTGTAATCAAAAAGCAAGGAAAAATGTTACTCTGAAATATTTATGCACCTTCTGGACCAAACAATATAGAACACATTTGTTATTTATTCAAAATAAGGAGATTCAAAGAGTCATTTACAATTAAGATTGGGTCTAATAGACCAAATAATTGGAAAATAAGGAATAGTGAAACACCAACCAGAACATCCAGCATCAAGGTCTTCACCATAACATTTAGTGGGTAGATATTTTATTGAAACTGTATCACATACACAAAAACAGAAAGGTCAACATGAATTAAAGTGTGTGGTTCAAAGAAAGACAGTAATTAACGCAAAAGGAATTCAGAAAGAGACTAGACACTACTGTCCAGATCGTAATGTTGCATCATGTATTGAATGATTTAAGATATGCCATACACACAAAAAATTATTGAATAAATTTGATAAAATTATCATTTTTGTATTTCCTATCTTATACAAATTAATGAAAAATTTTGCAATTTTGGGGCATCCTGTCTTTAAGCAATTGGACTGGTGAGTGGTTCAAGAAGGAAAGGTTTATTTTGTCTCACAGCTTCAGGGGATTCAGTCCATGGTTCCTGGCTCCAAGGCAGAAATGGGATGTGAGAGGAAAGCTGCCCACTGCATGGCAGCCAAGAAGCAGAAAGAGAAACCGAGAGCAAGGGATAAGAACGTCCCTTCCCAAGTCATACCCCTAGCAGCTTACTCTTCATGAGCAGGCCCCACCTCTGAGAGTGAGACTTTCTGGGGACATTTTAGATCTAAGGCACAACAGTCAGATTTTTAAATTTGACCCTGATTTAACATTTCAAATATCAGAGAATATGAGAGAGAAAGCACTGGTTCAAATACCCTCATTCCTCAGATAAGGAAACTTGGACCTAAAAGTGTTAAGGGATGAGACAAACATTGCAAAATGACTGATGCAGCAGAATTGGCATCAAAGTGAGCTTTTTCTAACTCTCTAAAAAGACTTTCCAGTAACAGTTGCCTTATTTTTGGATAGTACTAATTTTTAGTTTAAAAATTCTAATTTCTAGGATATTTTTCAATACCAGTTGTTTCACTTTCCAGTTTTAGAATAGCTTTTATTTCTATAAATCTGATGTAATTGTGCAAAAGTAAGGGAATAGTTTGTACAATTTTTACAACAGTATTTATACTGCAAAAATATATAAATATATATGATGTCAAAAATCTTATAAAGTGTTTGGCTTGGTTTAATTCAGTCCTAATTTTAGTACACTATTCTAACTCTGTCAAGGATATACAGATGTACTTTCCATTCACTACACTTTTTTTTTTTCAGCACTTGTGTTTGTTTGACCAGACTTGCTATTTAATTTGGATTTGACCCTCATTACCTGTGTTTGGCATTTTGCAAGGGTTTCTGCTGCTTTCAAAGTTACAGTCTAATGGAACACATTAGATTGGATGTATCAGCTCAGATTACACCTCTGTTAGGTACTGTCATGTTTACTTATTTTTCTTTGGTAAAAAAACCTAAAATGTTCCCTTTCTGTTTATTCCATTAGAAGATGTTTAAGTGTACTCCCCAAATAAGAACGCCTTGTGTTCCATTTGGCTAGGAGTAACTTCAAAGTCTCTGGAGATGATCATGTCTGCTCTTGGAGGTTCTCCTTGCAGACTAGTTATGTAAAACAAATCTGCTTCTTCTCTGGACACACTTGGAAGTCACTCCCATCTGTTGTGTTCCCATTTGATTTAAAAACTTGCTCAGCTGCTCCAGATCAGAAGAGAGCATACTTTTCTAGCCAAAGATTTTTTTCATTGACCAAGCTAATTTGATGATTCAATTTATCTTCCAAAATTTGAAATCAAGTTTTATCCCTCCTCAATGATTTTCACCAATACGATTTGAGTATTTTACTTTTCCAAAGAGAAACACGAATACAGTCAGAGCTATTTAAAAATATTTTGTTGGAACATTAATTGTAAAGTGAAACATAGCATAACATATATCAGTGCAGAGGGGAACAACTAAATCCAAAAGAAATAAGCCTAATTTTCTAAACCATTGATGTGAAGTGACTGGACTCGGATCAAGTGCAAAGGAAACCAAATGAGAATCTTAGGTGCCAGAGAAAGGGGAAATTTTGATAATTCTCCTCTATTGAGGATCACATCCATTACATATGAGACCCAAATAGAAGGGAGAATTAGGCCAGAAATGGACTGACTTTCCTGTCAGGTTCTTCCTACTCCTTTAGTGGTTCTGGCTTCAAAGCTCTGTGTATATAAATGGAACCTCATGCATCAACTTCCTGATTCTACTAGAAGTTGGAGTTACTGTCTTTACATCAGGTTGAACTAACTTGGGTTAAAATAGTAACATAATTAAAGTAGGGTTACATTTTAAAAATTTGAATAGCTGACCCATTTCTCATTTCTTTATACATGTATAAACCTAGCCTAGCAATCTGAATTGACAATCTAAAATACATTTTCTAAATGTCCCTAAAACCCCTCCTGCTTTGTCTTTCCACAACCTTCAGCCAAAGAAAGTAATTTCTCAGGAACTGTTAGGAAGCCAAAAAGTGTGGTAGATACATTATTTTCATGTCAGATCCAGTATGTAAGGGAAATAATACTTTCAGGGAAAGATTAAGAATCAGACCTCAAAGAATGAAATCTTTGTATTGGCACCTTAATAAACAGCAACAATGAGGTAGGAAGGACTGTAAGTCACTCATTCCCCAATTTGATTTTGTTTTCTCTGATGGTAAAATAAAATTATGTTCTCACATAGCAGTAAAATTCATATTAGGTTTTCTAATAAAGAAAGTTCAGTAGTGGACCTAATGAAAAAACTTCAAATTGATTAATGGAGGGAGTTTAAACCTACTTAATAGGGCTCCTTTAGTTCAGGATTTCAAGACTATTGGCAAATTGAGCTTGCTGTAGAGTTTCAGTTTAACCAGCCGTTTTTTTGAACAGCAGGTAAGCTATTGGTCTGAAAGCTCCGCCAACATGGCAGAGACATGTGTGGAAGGTCACAGGCAGTGTGGCTCATGGGAAAGTTCAACAGCTCTGGTTGGTGACCTTCACTGACTGTACGATTCTGAGCAATTAATTTCATTCCATGGTCCCTGTTTCCTTCTCTATAATAAACATTGAACATTGAACTAGAGATCTTTCCAGTGAAAGCACGATGGTTCCAGAAACAGGACAATTCAAGTGTGTTTGTCACATTGAATCTGGCTTACCTCCTGAGAAGACTTTAGCCAAAATGTTATAATAAAAACAGCATGTAAGAAATGAGTATTTAGGGGGTGGGTATGTAGTTCAATGGTGGAGCACTTGCTTGGCCACACAAGTCCCTGGGTCTTATTTACAGCACCAAAAATAAAGAAAAATGAAAGAAAAAGAAAAGAAAGGAAAAGAAATGGAAAGGGAAAAGGAAAGGAAAGAAAGGAAAGGAAAGGAAAGGAAAGGAAAGGAAAGGAAAGGAAAGGAAAGGAAAGGAAAGGAAAGGAAAGGAAAGGAAAGACTGCTTGGGGTAATATCTCTCATCAGGGTTTGTCCCCTATTACTGTTTGTATCAAAAGATTTCTCCCAGTAGGCTAAGTGTTCAGAGGTGGGGCTTTTGGAAGGGGTTTGGATCATGAGGCTACTAATCTCAATGGATTGAATTGAACGTGCTCTTAGGACATAGAGCATTGTTGAAGGAAATCACAGGGGATATGACTTTGAAGAATATATCTTTTCTCTGCCTCTTTCTCTTTGCTTTTTGGCTGCCATGAAGTAAGCAGTCTTCCTCTGCCATTCCCTTCCACCATGATGTTTCTGCTACTCCACAGGCACAAAATCAATGGACCCCACAGACCATGGACTGAAACCTCTAAAATCACCAGAAAAAAAAAATCATTGTTTAAGCCGTTTATGTCAGGTATTTTTGTCCCAGTGGCATTCCCTTTCCCATAGCCAACTTGTCCCTAAATTTTCTATTTCCAAGGCTAGGATGGCACATATG